ACATCTACCAGTTGTTTACTGTTGTGTAAACATCTACAGTTGTTTATTGTTGTTTAAGCATTCACCAGAAACATGTACCATTGTTGTATTCCAGACTACTCTGTTGGTGTGTTTTAATGAATCCTTACTACTGGTACCTTGTATAATTTACCATAAGCTTGACCTTTAAAGTGCAAATATTTGCTTGACAATAGTAATTATATGGACTATTACAAATATTTAACATTGCAAACATTTTGAGGATTAAGATCTGGTGAGGTATATTTAGAATTATTTGTAGGAGACTTGATAATCTTTTTTCTACATATATATATATAGCTTTAAATTACTACATTTTCGGTTCAAAATTATACGTGGAATGCCTGGGAGGAAATCGTGTATGAGGAGTGATAGACTTCTAGGTGTATTGAAAGGTCACTCATGACATCCATAATCACATGTATAACCATTACAAAATTTACACATGTTCTAGTAGTGGTAAGTAGCAGTGTCAGTAAGTGACGGAATAAATACTACTATCTACGTCAGAAAAAATCTGTTTCATACACAAATTTCTGTTGAATTTATACTTGAGCTAAGTAATATATTGGCGGCCGTCCAAGAGGGCAAGATAGAGAACTCTCATTGTATATTACAAAGTGGACACAATTTGTGAAATTTGAGTTGTTGGTATAATTGGAAGTTTCTGATCCCCTCCCACGTTAATGAACCTGTTCAACAGATTATCAGTCCACTCATTGTTTCTTTTGTTTTGCAGTCAATATTGATTTTAACCTGAACTGACAGCCAAATGAACTGTGCATTTTTTTCATGTTTGCTTCATTTTCATTTAATCATGATTATTGATTTTTTTTTTAATTTAAACGAATGTTCCCCAAACCTCTGTGATAGTGGATAGTGATTTGAGCAGTAAAGGAATTCACAAAATAATGGCACAACTGACACTAACATAAACAAAAGTAAGGAGCTTCAAGGCAATTCTATTGGTGGACTGTATAGGCCCTATGGACCTCTTAATGATGTATCATTAAATAGTGATGGTGCCTGTTACAATAAGCACTCGGTGTTTTGTAATTTGTTTTTATACATATATGTTACGTATATAGTTTCTCTAAAAAGCTTGCCGACTCTAGTGTCTACATTTATCAATAGTACACATGGTGATTAGGATTCATGTACATATCACTATTATTGTCTCCATTATTCTTTGTAAATGATCGATGTTTTCTTACATCTCTAAACCTTTTATAAACAAGGTTTATTTATAAAGGGACATGTAAGACAAATATAACATTACATAATACATGTACCTGCAAAAAATGAATGAAGTGATTTGTTTTGGGAACTATTTTGTTGGCCTTGCCGTTGTCAATGACGCCAAAGTGGCGCCTGACCTACTACTTCTGCTGACGCGCACCAAGCAGTATATATTTACTTCTATCTTACTACAGGAAAATGGCGATACAGAAAATAAAAACAATCCTTAAATCTTTGTTATTCCATGTTTCAGAAGAGATGTCAAGAGATTTTATTTTAAATAACTTCAATGCATACTGTTACATGTATCTCTAAAACTGATTCATAAAAAGAAACCAGAAACAAGAGTCAACAAGTCATATATCTGTCACCTCTGAAGGCTAACGTTGTATGTTTATAAGTAGTCTTGTTAGATTAGGACAAATTGGCAATATGTTGATGTTAAGATAAACAAAATGTTAATTACTGAAACATAGATATCAATTACAGTCACAGATCTAATAAATAGGTGATAATTTGCATTGGCACAAGAAGATATATATTAAGCATTCAAACAAGCGTGGGACTTTTCCATTAAGATTTGTTACTAAGTTACCCAGTTTTATCACCCAACCAGGAAGTCGCTGCACACAAGGGTTATGGCACTTTTAGATAGGATTCTGTCTGTCATCATATATCATCACAATCACTCTTTACCTCTGTAAATTCATTCAAGGAATGTCCTTATTTTCTCGACTTTTCTCAAACAGGACACTCTTCATTGTATCTCGACTATAGTAAACAAAGACAGCCTTCATTTTGTCTAAACTACACTGAAATAAAGAATGCCCTTCAGTGTCTGGACTTTACTGAAAAAAAGAGAATGCCTTCCAGTGTCTGGACTTTACTGAAACATGGACACCCTTTATTGCACCTCAGCTACAGGAAAACAAAGACTACTTTCAGTGTGTCTAAACTACACTGAAACAAGGAATGCTTTACTGAAACAAGAAATGCCTTTCATTATGACTCAACTTTACTGGAACCAAGACGCCCTTCATAGTGCCTCAAAGTCACTGAAACAAGGACGCCCTTCATAGTGCCTCAAAGTCACTGAAACAAGGACGCTCTTCATAGTGCCTCAAAGTCACTGAAACAAGGACGCCCTTCATAGTGCCTCAAAGTCACTGAGACAAGGATGCCTTTCATTATGCCTCAAAGTCACTGAGACAAGGACGCCCTTCATTATGCCTCAAAGTCACTGAGACAAGGATGCCCCTCAATGTGTCTCAACTACACTAAAACAAAGAAAGGAAACAAGGAATGCCCTTCATTATGCCTCAATTTCACTGAGACAAGGATGTCCCTCAATGTGTCTCAGCTACACTTAAACAAAGACACCGTTCAATGTGTCTCAGCTACACTTAAACAAAGACACCGTTCAATGTGTCTCAGCTACACTTAAACAAAGACACCGTTCAATGTGTCTCAGCTTCACTTAAACAAAGACACTGTTCAATGTGTCTCAGCTACACTTAAACAAAGACACCCTTCAATGTGTCTCAGCTTCACTTAAACAAAGACGCCGTTCAATGTGTCTCAGCTACAATTAATCAGATCACTCTTACTAGAATGTCCTTTCCTTTGTTAAAGCAACACTTAATTGAGAACTCATTTAGTGTATAAAAAATCCAGAACACCTTCGGGTTTATAGTTCCACCTGTGGTAAGGTATCCGTGTGTTGACGTCATACCTTTAAGTTTGCACAAGTTTTCTTTTTCAAGGAAAAATTATTATACATAATTGTCTCATTTTTCTGCTTCATTTAAAGGCCTTGTACCTGAGGTATTGAAAATGTCAAAATTTCTTTTGAGTATTTTTTTTTTTTTAATTGTGAAGGAATGACAAATATGTTGTAATGGGCTCCTTAACAACTCCAAGACATGCGGCCCATATTAGATTCACTTCACCGATTTGAATGAAAGAATGAATGAATACCGTTGAGCAGTTAGGTTTCAAAACAACCATCAGCCCAGACAAATTGATAGCTTACCTGTATGCAAATTAGAGTGTACAGTACTATGCACAGGCTGTCACTGTGACCCACTGACTATGAAGGCTGACACCCCTACAACTCAAATGGATTCTTTGTTATGGTTCTATATGTCTAAGATACGGTCTGTTCTTAAATGAATTGGTAGAGGTTAACAGTTCTGAATACAGGAAATGTTAAATATTTACCTGGAGCTAGACCAAAGTATGCACAAGTTTTATGAGCAGAACCTAGTTGGCAAGCGACAAGAATACATTGTTTACCTGAACTCAAACTTGGACAAGTCTAGACTGCTTGTTACCAAAACTTAATTAACACAGTCCTGAAATTCTAAAAAACAAATTTATCATCCCACATAACAAAATGATAATGATACCCCTCTCAACCAAAACGCGGAGTTAGAGATGCCTTCACAAATGAAAAAGACTTTGGTAATCCCTTCTCAACCAAAACCTAAATTTGGAGCTGGAAGACCTTTCAGTCTCCATAAAAATCATTTCATGATCCCTGACCGAGAAAAAAGGTAACAGATTTGTTAGTTCCATTGAGAGTGTATAATATGTTTGGGTTGTGAAGGACTGAAAGACGGTTTTCTTATACAAATCTTTTTATGATCCTTGACCGAGAAAAAAGATAAACAGAACAGTTTGTGTTGTTATGGTTGTGTACCTGGGCAATACAATTTACCTCAGTTCCTCAAGGTAGCAGTGGACAGGCCTCCAAGCGACAGGCCTCCAATCGACCTCCAAGTGACAGGCCTCCCGTATGTTGTTCAGTTAGGTAAACACCAGCTTCTACATGGAGACCTGTCCTCACAATGGCCTGGACTGTGCATGGGGTTGATGCTAGTTTCTAAATAGCTTCCTAAGTGGACAGTTTGTGTACACAGAATACATGGGGGTTAGTTGATTACAGCTCTTGTGTTATTTTAACGCAAAATATTTTTCCTTTTGACAGAGCAATGTACTGATACTGACATGTTTGGAATATTTCTACCTCAGGTTTCTGTCAGTAATGGAAAAATTTTACTTTCAAAAATATGAACTAACTAAATTCTGATTACTCCACGATTTTTTAAATTTTGTAATAAATGATTTGTGTAAATGTGTTTGTTGTACTACAGTGACCCTTTCTTAGTTACCATGACCTTTCCAACAAAGTACTATCCTGCATGAGTTTCTGGGATACATGTGGTAATAAGTGACTTTTGACCTACTTCTGACTTAACAGTGCTTGACCTCTGACCTCTGATACTATTGTTGTGCAGCTGTGCAGAGTACAGACACATGCACCGTCCTTTGTATCTCTTTGACATACTGACAGTAAAAACATTGTTTGGTGGTCTCCTGTTGACCTCAAAATTTGTGACGAGTTGTTGATTTATATTCTATATATCAGTGTATTACTTATATAACTGGTTTTCATTGAATTTTTCAATTAAATCTTTAACTTGGTTCTAAAAAAGTTTTCTCTGTAAGGCTGAGGGAGACATCAGATGATATCTCAATTAGAGTTTATTAGAGGAAATAGGTTTGTTGCAGGTCCATGAAATAGTACTTTACAGTAATATAGATTGGTGGGCTTATTATCAGAGTTAATTATGTACTAGATATGGTCAAGGTAAACATTTTACTAATTGGTCTTCTGAAAACCTTCAATGTTTCTTCAGACTGATGTTTTCCTTTACTTAGAAACCTTTTTTCTTTTCCAGATATTTGAACAAATCGACTTCAACAAACAGTACAAGAATCCTAGTTTTAAACCATTCAACTTTGCCTGTATCCTCAAGCTCTCCAAATCACAGTTGGTAGAAAAGTCCTTTAAGGTAATTACCTATAACCTTGATCCACATAGATTTAAATTCACTTTCATCTGTGTTTCTTGTATAGTCGTACAGGACTTTAAAAAAGTTTTCCCAAAGTATTTGCAAAAACCTCTTTTCATGAACTAACGAACATAAATGTACATCTTGCGGAACTTTTCTCCTGAAGGTTACTTTTGGATTGAGTTTAACATTGTTTTTGGTTTCTGGAAGTAACATTTGATTGAGTTTAACATTGTTTTTGGTTTCTATAAGTAACTTTTGGATTGAGTTTAACATTGTTTTTGGTTTCTGGAAGTAACTTTTGGATTGAGTTTAACATTGTTTTTGGTTTCTGTAAGTAACTTTTGGATTGAGTTTTAACATTGTTTTTGGTTTCTGTAAGTAACTTTTGGATTGAGTTTAACATTGTTTTTGGTTTCTGGAAGTAACATTTGATTGAGTTTAACATTGTTTTTGGTTTCTGGAAGTAACTTTTTGATAGATTTTAACATTGGTTTTTGGTTTCTGGAAGTAACTTTTTGATAGATTTTAACATTGGTTTTTGGTTTCATTGTTTTTGGTTTCTGGAAGTAACTTTTTGATAGATTTTAACATTGGTTTTTGGTTTCTGGAAGTAACTTAGATTGATTGTTATTGTGTCTAACTTTATTTTTGGTTTCTGTAGGATGGAGTGATAGACCAGCTGTATGAGTTACTCCTGGACCAGTTACATGTCCATCAGAGTTCTGTTGGGTTTCCTGAGCTCGCCCTACCAGCCATTTTACAGGTCTGTCCGCTGTAATTCATACATAAGGCATCAGTATCATAGCAAGATTGAAAACTGATCAGATCAATGTAGCATTCTCACCAGATCCTACACAAGCATATTTACAACTCTCAGGGTCCTGTATTTCTCAGTATATATCCTATGCACATGTACAATTGTTTTTCAAATATTCTGGTTTGTCTTTAGAATTGCAGATTTCTTAAATATAAAAATGATCCAGAAATAATTTACATGCACCAATATGTTACTTTAATGCTTATGAAATTAAAATCCAGTTATTAGTTAAAGAAGATATCTTTTAAATAAAAAACATAACTACGTTTGAAAAGTTTTTTTTCTGTTGCTTTGTAGCTGAAGGCCTTTCTTAAGAAGTGCAAAGTGGCTAACTACTGCAAACAGATTCGTCAGATTCTGGACAAGGTTGAAGAGAATTCAAAATTCATCACAAATAGACGCAAGAGTTTCAATGTTAATCTTGCTGACACTAAAACTATTGTAAGTTGGATAAATTACCTTATTTATCTGATAGATAGTCCATCCTTCATCATAAGCCAACCCAATTCTACTATTTTCAATTGTCCTGTAATAAGCCCACCTATGACTTTGTGTCGGAGATGATGTTTAGACCCTTTGGGCTTAAACCTGTATGATAAATACTTAAGTAACAGAAGTAATGATCTCCAGATGAAACAGAGCAGTGTTGCTCAAATTAATTATGGTTACTTCTTCCTATCATTTTGTTTAAAACATGTGTTTCTGCCCCCATCATTCTAAGCGGTTTATAATGTTACCCATGTCCATCCATCGCATCGCAATTACGTCGTCACTTCCTCCTATCATTTCATTTTTGAAGGGATTTTAATAGAACTTACTTCAAAGCTTCCCTATAACAATTAAGATTTCAAATTACTTTGTTTTTAGGCCAAGATAAAACTCGTTGTTGCTATTAATTGAGCTTAAGCATTTATGTCTGAAGACATTTTCTAGTTTTGAAATAGTATTATTAAAACTGTCCTTAATGTACATTGCAGGAAGCTTGGGAGAAAAAATGTGAAGAGGCCGGAACACCTCTTGGAAAATATTACAAGACCTGGAGGAAGCTGAGGGACCGTGAACTACAGCATGAGATCTCCGCCAAAGAACAGGTAAAGAATCAGTCTGAAATCAGAAAAACTTTTCGTAAATCTTAACAAAGTCAGGAGACGCTTGTAATAAGTCACAACAGGGCCCGAAAAACATATATTGGTTCATGGCAAAATATAGAAAATAAGCAAAAAGTTCTTGGGGTCATTGCAAGGTCTGAAATAGGGCAGACTTGGATTTGGGATATGATAAGGTTTGCAAAGTTACATTTGGTTGAGATATTTTTTGTAAAAGGACCAATTTACATTTTCATGGAAAAGTCTGAAATAGGACAAACTTATATCGAGTCATTATAAGGTTAAATATATAACAAACTTAACAGGCTATGACAAAGGATATTATGGTCTTTGTTAAAGATGCTGAAGCAGGGACTTGGCCTCTAGAGTGTGAAAAAAGGCAAAAAATATTGCCAGTAATCATCTTAGTGTTGGTGTTTTGTATTTTTTGAGTTGAGTTTCAAAGATACTTAATGGAGCAAAATGTTTAATTTGAATGAAAGTTTTGTAGAATATATGTATAAAAGTATGTTTTTGATTTCAGGTCCTGGATGTAGATGATGGTATACCATTAATAGTAAGACCCAAGGGTCCACAGAAAGCTACCGCTGAAGACAAAATGGACTTTGCTGCTCTTTTCGATAAAGAAAGTGATGAGTCGGATGATGAGATGAGATTTCTTCCAAAATCTGAACGAACAACAAAATCCAAAAAAACTGATTCAGATAGCGATGATTACAGGTAATGTAGTAGGACTGTTAGGTGAATCTCATTTCTCACTTTGCTTAACATTTTCTTTAGTTACACAGTAGAAGTAAAACCCTGTTAACTAGAACACTGCTCTCTGGAAAAACTTGTTGTCTTCAGAAATCATGTCTTTTTTTTCTGTAACCACAGCATCCATACTCCTCACCCTCTGCTGCCAAGTGTTCTCTGGGAATTGCTGTCTGGTCAATAAATTCACAGAATATGGCTTTAAATACTACATAATGTCTACTATATACAGTGTCTCAATAGCAACATTGATCTCAAACTTATCTGTAATCGTCTGTAATTTCATTGGACGGAGGTGAGGGATGAGTTGGTTTTGGGAAGGGGAATATCGCTTCTGAAATTTGTCCAAACAAAATTTTATATTTACTTGTGATTTAGAAATATATTTATTTAGGTGTCATGGGCTAGGTTTGTTATGGAATTTGATGTAAAATACAGTGATAAGATATGGAGAAGACAAAAGAAAAAATAAGGAGACAGCTATAAAGCAGAGAGTAAATCTAACAAGCACTTGTTAAAAGCAAATATTTATCAGACAGACTTAAAATCTTGACATGAAAAATAAAAGTTAACAGCAAAGTATGCTTTATAACACTTCACCGATTAGTAGGCTACTGACTACAGGAACACATCAACCTTTTAATATCATGTTCTGCTTAATATCATGATTCCCTCAAGCAAATCAAACAACTCTACTTATACATAAGCCTTCTCTTCCTACATTTGATTTTATTTTACTTCAACAGTGACTTTGATAGTGACGAACTAGAACAGTTAGCACAGTCAGCAGATGAGGATGATGAGGACAGTGAGGAAGAAGAAGACGATGAGGAGGAGGAGGAGGCTGAGGCAGATGATGCTAATGCCAGTAATGATGATGAAGATATTCCAGATGTTGACGATGTTGTAGAGGACTTTACAATGTCAGACTCTGATTAAAATGTATTGAATTTTACTAAAAATAAATGTTTTATCACATACACTAAAAACGATTTTATATTCTGTCAACTTTGGAAGTCTTATTTACCTAATCTAGCTAATTCAGCTGCTGTATATGCTGTTTTCCAAGGTACCAAAAATTGCATATCAACAATCCTTTTCATGGACAAAATATTTAACTGCAAACTTCACCTCAGTACTAAAAGTGAACATACTGTGTGGAATTTTACAGCCACCATCATCAGATGGTGCAGTGTTCAAATCGCCCTTCATCCATGGTCCCACATTGTTGGTCTGTCCGTCTGTCCTTATACAATTCTTGTTATCAATATTTCTTAGCAATCATACATAGCTTAAATGTTAATCCCTTGTTCCCAGCTGTGCAATGTCTTAATTTAGAACTGATAAAAAAACAAAATGGCTGACAGGTGGCCATCGTGGTTTATAGCCCACCATCATCAGCTGTTTGGCAGTTCAAATCGCCTTACATCCTTGGTCTGTTGTCCCTCCATCTGTAAACAATCCTTGCTATCATGATTTCTTAAAAAATACTGATCAGAAAAGAAAATGGGCAACATGTAACTGTCAATGATTTCACAGTTACAGATAATTATCACTGTTTCTTACAAGGGATTTTCAAATTTGATATCATAAAGAGGGGAAAAGATCCAACTTTTAAAGCACTAATAAATGACAGGCAACATGATAGATCTCTTCTATATTCACTGTATTTCAATTTTGTGTGGGGTCCAGAAACATTTCATGTAAAATTCAACTTCATCTGTTATTCTTTTCTGCAAGTTACACTTTTCTGATCTGTCAGCTAAACTTTTCTGATCTGTTAAACTTTAGTGATCTGTCTGTTCAACTCTTCTTAAAGGTTGAATTTTTCTCAATGGTCAATTAAATTTGTTTGATCTGTCAGTTTATCTTTTCTGTTAAACTTTAATGATCTGTCGGTTTGTAAAATAAAATGAAGAAGATTATCATGTGTGAGTTATACTCCATTAACAGGTTAGCGATATCTGTGACATAGCAAACAAGCTCTGGGGATGGGTGCTTAACAAACATCACACTCCTGCTTAAAGTTGGTCACAGGGGGATTAAGGTACACCCACTCACCTGGTGGATCATACCTGCAGATTTACGACCAGGTAGCCTAGTCTGTGTCAACCTGTACCTTACACTACACCCCAGGGACACAAACTTTAAAGATTTGTTAGGTTAGTCTAATTTTTTTTTTCATACATTTAAATCAAAGCATTTTTGTTGATTAATTTCTTCTTTTCTATATCGAGAGTTTTTTTCCACTTCAGATATTTTTTTATCTGTTTACCAGGTAAGCATATGTTTGTGTTTGTTACAAGGTCTATGTTACATGTAGATTATGATGGCCGTTCGGACATGGAGGTACCGTGCGGAGATCCATTCATAAATCATTTTATATCTTGAGGAATTTATATAGACACAACAATGCATTACTCCACTCTGGGTCTCTGTAGAATCAACAAACAGGAAAAACCAGTTGTAACCTTGAGTGTTACTTGGAAAAACCACATGTTACCCATGTAGAACTTTGTACTGTTGGAAGAGCACCCCGATAACACATCTATATAACCCAGTATCCTTTAAAGTCTTAAATACTTGAAATTCAGACAAAAAGATTTGAATTTCTTACCTCGTAGGGATTGGCTAAGTTTACACACACGATTGGCCCTGATGTAGTATACCATGCTGGGGATATTGTACCTCTTCAAACTCTCCACGTTTTTATTTGGGCTCTCAAGATTTTTGTATTTAAATTGTTAATTACTTCTGGAGGTCCTATACAATCAAATCTAAAACACAGTAATGCTTCAAACTGCTTTGATAGAGGTTTAATTAGATATTTGGATATTTATAATATTTTGATATTTTTTCCCAGTGTGAAAACTTCCACTCTGAATTTTACTGTGCTACAATGGTTACAACTATATATGTTTATGACACTTTTAAAACCTACCTCTACAATTTATACTCATCCCATCTTGTTTCTGACAAGTTAGAGCAGTTTTCTTTCTTTTTGCAACAAGATCAGCTCCCATCTGTTAATGACTGGGACTAAATCAGGTTAAGAACCAGCCCAACCATGTCAACAAAGCACTTTTTTACTTCTGTTGACCACAAAGACATTAATAACTATCCCATATTCTGCAGAAACACAACATGAAACTGTCCTTACTGACTAGTTGTGCCGGAACCCTTCTGCTGAATCTTCGGTGTGTCCTTTTTTCTACCAATTCCCACTAATAACAAAAAGGTGATTCCCTCCTACTGACAAACAGAGAATTCCCTCCTACTGACAAATAGATAATTCCCTCTTCCTACTGACAAATAGAGAATTCCCTCCAACTGACAAACAGAGAATTCCCTCCTACTGACAAATAGAGAATTCCCTCTTCCTACTGATAAATAGAGAATTCCCTCCTACTGACAAATAGAAAATTCCCTCCTACTGACAAACAGAGAATTCCCTCTTCCTACTGACAAATAGAGAATTCCCTCTTCCTACTGACAAATAGAGAATTCCCTCCTACTGACAAATAGAGAATTCCCTCTTCCTACTGATAAATAGAGAATTCCCTCCTAATGACAAACAGAGAATTCCCTCTTCCTACTGACAAATAGAGAATTCCCTCTTCCTACTGATAAATAGAGAATTCCCTCCTAATGACAAACAGAGAATTCCCTCCTACTGACAGTTAGACCAAACCACTTGTTAGTAACATACATCTATCTAACATTTAGGATATTTCCACCTGTTCAGTATTTGGCATGCTCCGTGTTAACAACCCTGTAATTATTGTTAGTATCGGGTGAATGAATTAGCCATGACGCAATCCTAAAATTTTCCTACAGTTATTTGTTATACCAAGCCATCATGTTTTTGAGTGAATGATGCAATCAACACCTAACAGTTCGGTATATCGTAATAAATAGATGTAAGTCGTGTATTCTTACAGGATTTCTAGAGGGGAATTGGCCTTGTATTTGAGCACATCAAAAATGGCAAAGTTATTAGGAATGTTGGATTTATTTTGTAGAAGAAGTAGGTAAGTATTAGAGTATATGTGTTCCTGTGGTAAGTTGGTGAACATGGGATATGTTTTAATTAAGTCTGTGTTGATTACAATGTAAGTAGATTTTTTTTGAAAAAGATGTTAAAAGTGTAAAAGAGGTCTCTGACGACTAAAATATATATATATATACAGATACTGTCACTATGATCAGGAGACGGAAACATTCAGGTGAAATACGTTTTGTTGTGACTTTTAAACATCAAGTCTAAAAAGGCTAATATCTTCACAAGTTCGTTAAAGAAAAAAATATGTGCTTTCATTTTGATGCTTCTGATATCTTATTATGGATATTTCAAACGAAAGGTGAGAATAAACTAAATACCAAAATCCTATGAACTTATGTTGACTAGTTTCAAAAGAGGAGATCATCTATAAAGGATACATTGGGGTTGTAGACAGATATTGTTGCATACTAACATACGTTAGCTCAAAACGAAACTGGAAGCATGTAGCATTCTGTACTAGTGACTGGTAGCCGATACAGAGGTCAGACAGCCTGAGTGAGGGGGTGTGCAGCCCATTTCACGTAATGGACCATATGGTAGTGTTATTCTAACCTCCCAATCCTATGAACAATTACAGGACAACATTGCTCTAACTCCATCTGGAAATAGGACATACAAGCATGTAATGACCATGACCTCACTTCCCACAGGGATTGACATATCTATGTATAACAACACCTGCATGTGATTGTCTACCCCCTTCTTACACAGTTACTCTATTATCCTATTTTCGTGTATAACCATGTCCAGTCTCTTTTGACACCCACCTCCCCCCCTCCCCCACCCACCTCCGACTCTTATACTGCCTTCTCTAACATACAGTTTTTAGTGTTTCAGTCCATGTCCTTCACACCCGTTTTAATGCCCATCTCTCACCCTAGCTTAGTAAATCAGTGTCTGGGCCAGGATTGGGGATGTAGTAGCTCTACAATATTTACTAGCCAAGCCACAAGCTTCGTATTTACTGCTGTTGTTAATGCGTCAAGGGTGAGAGGCCGTATTTAGTAACTCCTAATTAATTGTATTTAGTAACTCCTAATTAATTGTATTTAGTAACTTCTATGTTCACGGCCATATTTAGTTGATTCGTATTTAGTAGTTTCTGTGTCAAAGGTTATACTAGTAGTTCCGTATCTAGTAGTTTCTGTGTCAAAGGTTATACTAGTAGTTCCGTATCTAGTAGTTTCTATGTCAAAGGTTATACTAGTAGTTCCGTATCTAGTAGTTTCTGTGTCAAAGGTTATACTAGTAGTTCCGTATCTAGTAGTTTCTGTGTCAAAGGTTATACTAGTAGTTCCGTATCTAGTAGTTTCTGTATCATTTCCATATATAGAAGCGTCGTATTTAGCAGTTTCTGTGTCAAAGGCGATATATAGTGGTTCCGTATCTAGTAGTTTCTGTGTCAAAGGTCATACTAGTAGTTCCGTATTTAGTAGTTTCTGTGTCAAATGCTATATATAGAAGCGTCGTATTTAGTAGTTTCTGTGTCAAAGGTTATACTAGTAGTTCCGTATCTAGTAGTTTCTGTGTCAAAGGTCATACTAGTAGTTCCGTATTTAGTAGTTTCTGTGTCAAAGGCTATATATAGAAGCGCCGTATTTAGTAGTTTCTGTGTCAAAGGTTATACTAGTAGTTCCGTATCTAGTAGTTTTTGTGTTAAAGGCTATATATAGAAGAGCCGTATTTAGTAGTTTCTGTGTCAAAGGTTATACTAGTAGTTCCGTATCTAGTAGTTTCTGTGTCAAAGGTTATACTAGTAGTTCCGTATCTAGTAGTTTTTGTGTCAAAGGCTATATATAGAAGAGCCGTATTTAGTAGTTTCTGTGTCAAAGGTTATACTAGTAGTTCCGTATCTAGTAGTTTTTGTGTTAAAGGCTATATATAGAAGCGCCGTATTTAGTAGTTTCTGTGTCAAAGGTT